ACAAACATGATGCGTTGGTACGGAGAGACATCTGGGGCGTTCTTGATGCGACGACATGAAACATCCATCAGTTCTCTTCAATAACTTTTCTAAAGGAATCAGCCAGGTCATTCTTCAGTGTCGTACAGAAACCTCAACTTATAACTGTACAGGTTGTATCTCACCAACAGAACTCACGAGGGAGTCTCCAGACTGTCTCGTGCCCTTCACGGAGCTTCTGAATTTCCTCTGTTGAATTGGACACACTCACAGTCTTGTTGCCCAAACAGGATCAAAACATCTGGGAGGCAAATGATGTCAACCCCAGGGTCACTGTGGTGCATCAAACACATCTCTGTTGTGGACATCAACCGTTTCAAGAGTGTGAGAGCTGCAGTTAAACATCTGCAGCGGCGCCGTCTGTCAGAGAACCTTTGGTCAAAGGTTATGGATGTTTTATTATTAATAACCTCACACAGAAAACATGTCACGATCTAAAAACACAGATGGTAACCAATTAATAAAAACTGGTTGTTTGACTTTGATGAATTATCTTAAACGTTGGTGGCTGTTAAAGTAGGTACAAAACCAGCCTAGTTGGGTACAGCGTGGGCAGAGATGAGCTGTGAAATAATGTGCACAGTCTAGAATGCAGTTTCACAAGCCGTGCACAAAAAAATAGGCTGTTTTAAAAAAAGCAACTAAACCAAACAACAATTAACATAAAAAGAAAATCCAAACAAAAAAAAAATACACTATTAATTTATCGTTGCGTATCTAAAAACGGGATCAAATAATGCAATCACAAAGCAGCCGACAGCAAAACAGAAATATAATATTTAAAGAAAGTGACCCAGTTGAAGCAGGTAAAGACAATGGATGGATTGACCCAACAGATCAGGGTTTTTGTGATTATGAGGTTAGAATTATGCAATAATAAAATATCCATTAGCCTAGGTTCATGCGTAATATGTCACGATGGCCAAGCAGAAGCTTTGCAGTAACTCCAGGTCACACTTCGACTAAATCTATTGGTCGACACTCTCCGTGTCCAACTCAGAGTGAATGGTCCATGCAGCGTGACGTCAGTCCAAGCCCCAAAAACACCAGTCCCCAAATCCCACATACAGGTAAGAAAAAAACAAACATCTGGGGAAGTGATTTAGCAGCAGTTTGTTATCAGCCACACAGTTCTTGGCGATCAGGACAAGAAAATGGCGCCTTCCTTCACTCTTTAGTGCATCCATCTGTTTATCCAGTCACCCATTCATCATCCTTCCATATTTTTGCTAGACAGTGCTGTAACGCTGCTGAGTGACTGAATCGTGCAGCAGGCCTCCGCTCCTGATTTTATGACAAGATTTTCGAACGGAAAAGAAAATAGAAGAGTTTGAAAAAAATACACCGGTAAAGTACCTTAGCTCCAGCAGCCAGCAGGTCATGGTTTTCAAAGGACAGCCACGATGCTACAGTGTGTTTATGTAAACCAAGAAACTAAAAGTAAATCTACTTTTCTGGTGTTGATTGGGAAACTAGATCTCTGCTCTCTATATTTACACTCTTCGTTTTCCATTATTGACAGATGATAACAAAAAATCTGTGATGCAACATATTGAAGCCAATTTAAGCTTCTTTATTTATTCATTCATTTAAAATAAATAAAACAAATTCATAAAAAGCAAAAAAAAACATTAAATGAAAAGGGTGCAGAAAGAAGAAGAAAATTCTTATATCGGCCCCTTATTTAAAAAAATTAAAAATAAACATCAATTTAGGCTTGAATAATCTCCAAAGTGAAACCAAAAAAACATCAGGCATCCTTCACATGGCATCATACTTTCCCAACAATTTTAACTTAATTAACTTTTTAAACATATAAATTGTTTTAGAACTTTTTATGGTAATATAAGAATTCATAATCCTAGTCCCTGAATTACAACACAGCGTTCCTTCAGACCAGTTCTAAATGGAGGTTTTACAAACATTTACATTCCCTTAAGGTTATAATGACTCTTTTTAAACAAAATTTTAATTGAGTATTTGGGGGTAATATTTTTAATGAGCTTTATACATGACTTGTAAAGTACTATATTCAACCAAATCATAACATTTTAATTAATTCAACTGATGAAATAATATATTTGTTGGGTGACCATTGCACTTCCTACTAATAATTCTTATAGCTCCTTTTTTGTAAAATGAAAATAGGATTTGTAATTGATTTGTATGCTTTTCCCCAAACTTCAATACAGTGGATTAAATATGGAACAATCATTACATTATATAATATATACAAAGCTTTGTCATTCAAAAACTATTTTACTTTATACAGTAATGCAACTGATTTTGCTATTTTTATTCTTAAGTAATTTACATGAGATTTCCATTTCAGCTTCTCATCAATAGCAACACCCAAAATTTTATTTAATTAACTATGAATTTCAATAATGTAAATTTTAAATGGGACTTCAATAATTGTCTTTCTATTACTAAATATCAAGTAGTTTGTTTTTTCCAAATTTAATGATAACATTAAGTTGGAACCAAGTTTGTTTTTTTATGAATTCTGCCCGTGCCATGTCCAACATCTGCATCTGGTATCATCTGCAATTAAAACACACTTCCAAAGCCCTGATGCATCAACCAGATCATTCACATACAAAACAAACAACTTTGGTCCCCAACACAGAACCCTGAGGAACTCCACATCACTTAACACAAAATTCAGATATTACATCGTTTACCTGTACACATTTTCTCTTAGCTTCTAAGCTTCTAAATCTGTTAAACTTTAAATCTGTTTCCAACAAGAACTTTGGACACAAGAAGCAAGTGAAAAAATAAATACATACAACAAAAATGTTAATGTTCTTTGTTTCTTAGCCTATGACACAACGATGAAAGAATTACCGATAAAATCTTGTCAACCACCATTTTTAAGTTTTACTTCAAAATGTTTTTTTTTTATCAGCATTTTCCATCTGGATATAAACACGTTGTGGTATTATTGACAGAAATGGCACACAGAGCTATCTGGAAATGTCACGACTGGTCATTTTAAACGCTCAGCGTTGTTGTTGCGCTATCTAACATCAGTGCTAACACATTCCCGCTTGCCCTTCATGTTCTTCAGCTGTCACACCCATTCTGAGACTTTGAAGCTTGTTTACAAATGCGTCTTCAAAAACCAGCTCCCCTCCATGCGTCAAGAACAGAATTTAATGTGATTTTCCATCTTCTGACCCATGCGCTGCTCCCCTAGCCTGCATATTTACTCCAAATGACAGATTTTACACACAAATGCAAATAAACAAGATTTATACAAAGGCACCAGCAAAATATCTCTAATAGTATGACCAAATATTCATCATGCTTATGTCCCACTTGTCTAATTCTAGAGTAGCCATTGATTGTTGAGCGCACGTCCATGAGCAGATCATACAAGCATCTTCCCAGAGAAGCAGAAGGAGGTGTGAAAATTATTGCTTCTCCTTTTGCTTGGCTGCACGTTACTGACCAAGCTGCAAACCTGCCCTTTGATAGTTCAAGTTACAAAACTCATAATGTCTTCATGCAGCTCTACCCACTCGTTTGCTTTCAGATGGACCAAACACCTCGGGACTGGCTCCACCACTCATTAACACGCGGTCCAGAAAGAATTAACAGATGAAACATCCTGCTGGAGTGTTTCATTAAGAAGCAAATGTGCAGACTTTTGATCCTCGCTAGTTCATTATTAGAGACAATAAATCATGTCGGGCAGAAAATTACCGCTGCAACATTAAGGGACTGAAAGTTTCGAGTGTTCCATTTTAAAACGGGCGTTTCTTCATAAATTAGAACTAAAGTTAAGATGCAACTGAAAGAGTGCCGTCAAAGAAGGTTTGATGAGGTTGAACCAGCTTTGGGAAACAAACGCACATTTACACCAAGTTATTATCAGTCCCCAGATTAGAAGCTGTTTATTAAAGCAAACTTAAATAAGATTTATAGATTAATCTATAACCGATAAAAATATAAACTTGGACTGAGCAATGACTTTTGAATATTTAAAGTCTAAATTTACCCAACCATTCCAACTTTAATTTTTTTGTTTAAAACATGGCTCAGGGTTAGAACATGCCAAGTTATTTTGACACAACACCCCCTGAAGTACAAAACCGCTTGGAGCATCGCAGCGTCTTTCTGATACCGTAGTTTATTTTGAAAGGATTAGAAAGTGGAAACCACGGTCATGGGTGAGCTCAGCTTAACTGTCAGAATACTGGCATCCCCTCTCCATGCTGATCCACTGGACCAGTAAAAATGAAGGTTAAAAAATAAAAAATAAAATAATTCACAGAGTTTTGATACAAATGCTAATCATAATAAAAATAAAAATTTAATTTACATATTCAGAAGAACAAAAATCCACTCAGATGGATAATCTGACTGGCATTGTAACCGTTTATCTGCAGATGGGTTCATCAAATTGGACATTGATTCAGTATTTTTATTGCAAACACCTTTGTTACACTTTCATTCAGCATTTTCTAAACCTAAACTCAAATTGTCTCATAAACTTCTGCAAGGTGCTTAACAATGAGCAGAAGACAGAAGCTCAAAGAACCTGTTTGTGTTTTTAATGTACATTTGTTCAGTGCCCTGAGAAGACTTCTCTTGTGACTTGGCGCTATATAAATAAATTGAATTGAATTTAGGCATACAAACAAAATGTAATCAGTGACTGAAACAGTTATGAAATTATACAAATGCATTATTACCCTTTGACCTATATTTTCAAAATAAATTCTTATGAAACAACTGAGTCATAAATTCTCACAATAATGGACAATATTAGACCAACTGAGCACCATATTAGGATAAATAACCGACAGGTTTCGACATGCACTTAAAAGAAATGCAGCCGAGACGCGGCTCAGCTCCCAAAGATTTCAAAGTCAATCATCACCTGATGATTGCAAAGGCCTCCCCTGTTACAAGTGTAAAATAGCTATTAGCACCATGTGTGTGTGTCTTACTTGAATCCAGGTGACACCGGCACGCAGCTGCCTGACTTGAGCCACATGCAGTAAGGGTCCCGTGAAGACAAACAGCTCCTGCATGACAGACACACACGGTTTGTTAGTGACAGAAGGAAATGAGGAGAACATCGAGTGTGAAGATCACCGAGTGTGGTGGATGTTAGCATGAGACACTACACTGCCGCCAAACTAACAACTCCCATCCTTCCCCCAACTCTAGCGTAACGGCTAAAAATCAGGATCCATGTGCAAGCTGGTGCACAAAGTTAGGTAAAATGATCATTTCAACATTTTGCAATGCAACGAATCATTACGGTTTTATTTTAGTAGGAACGCTTGTTTTCTTATAAAGTCCTCTGATATACAGAGATATGTGATATTTAATTAAGAGCATATTTACGGTTTTATAGCTCAGTGAATACACATTATACACAGTTTCAGCAATGCATGATTAGTCACATTTAATAAAGTTCAAAGACATTTCCAAACATCACTGCATCCTTCATAACACATAAAAGGAGACGAGCAAGCAAAAAAAAACAAAAAAAAAAAAAAAAAACCCAGACTAGATCACGTTATTATATTTTATGGGATTTCAAACTTTGAGCTTGTTTACATTTGATATACATTTAATAGATGAAAAACTAAAAAAAATAAAATAATAATAATTTTTGTTTGAATTTCTTGCAGATTAAAGCTTTTTTCTGTTTAGGCCATGTGTAAAAGTTCCACATGTGTTGGAAAAAGTTTAAATTATGATTTGAAAATGTTCAAAAGCAAACTTAAGGTTGAGTACCAACATTATTTAAAATATCCACCACTTCTAATCTATTTTTTTACGAGTACAGCACCTACTATTGACACGTGACATTTCATGGCTTAAACCTTAAAGAGTAAGAGAGTGTTGATGTTAGAAAATATTATTTCAAATTAAAACAATTCATATTGTAAAGAGTTTTTGCCTTTTACTCAATAACTAATGCACAAAAAATACCAGCGATCAACACTACCCATATTTCAAACCTGCCTAATCCTATGCAGGAACACATTTATTTACGATTCTAATGTAACTTTTTTGATTACAAACTAAAAAGTTACTAAAATAAATGAGTAAATTATAGTTGCGACATTTTAGTTCAGTGCAACTCGGCTGAGATGAGAAGGGGTCAAGCGTTTGTTTTTAAGTGTTAAACTTCGCTGTATGTTTTTCTGACCATGAATTGGACAGAGCAGAGTAAAAACTCCGAGCGATATCGCACCATTTAGGAGTGAAAAGTGTCCAAGAGTTTTTGAAAAGTGAGAATACGCGTTCTTTATGCTGCTCTTATCTTGTCGCTCAAACACTTACCCAACGTGAGCATTTTGGAGCAGATATGTTAATATTAGACTAAACACGACCAAGAAGTGAACGTTTTGTAAACCTCTGGTTTTATATGTTTTTACTCACTGTCTGTTTCATTTTGTATCCTTTTTTTTATTTTGTTATGGAATTGTTTTGTACTTTTTTAAAATGAATAAACTATATACCATACCATTAGAAAACATATAATTTAAGAACCGCCCAGGATTGAACCCAGATCTCTGATGTTATTGTGCATTTTAATCTCCTGTCACCTACCAGCCACATGTCCAGAGCCACACTGTTGCTCTGATGTCTTCAAGAAAGAAACCAGGAAAGACTTTTCCATTCCTGATTTTACTCCCCCCCCTTTTAAAACTCTACTCATCTGCCCACGTTGAGCAGTTACTGGGTGACAGGTCGGATACATTTAGAACCAGTCCACCGCAGAGCCACACGGAGACAAACAACTGCAGACCCACTCACACCGATCGCCGATTTAGAATCACCAAATAATCCAACATGCATGCTGCTGGAGGGAAACTAGTGACACAAAAACCCTAGTATGCACAAAGAGAACATAAAATAAGCTGGAAAAAGCTCCAACTAGGAGTTGAACCCCAGACCTCCTTTGCTGCAAGGCAACAGTGCTATCCAAACCCTAACCAATGCATAAAGCACACATGCACACAAAAAAAGACTACGGTAAACACACCAGTTAACATGCCCTGCCTTAACTCATAGGTCATTAACCGATAGGGTTCAAAGCTTTAGTGATACGTCTTGATGCACCTCTCAGTGAAACATCCACGCCAGGTTGTCACTCCGGTCAGTTAGATCAAACCACCTCTCCCTCCAACGCTCATATAATCAATCTACGTTGAGAAAAGCAGCTCAGATCTATAAGAGCTCCACCCACCCTCTCCTCTCATCTTCTCAGTTGCTGCCATCTGGCAGGAGACTTCCATCAGCATCAAAAAAACTGCAGTAAGGAATCTTTTATTTCTTCTGCCGGTACCGTCTTGAACAAAGAAACGTTGAAATGCAGCTTACTTCATAATGTAGGTGTTCATGGATGTTGGCTTGCACATGCACTTGTTTGTGTTATGCATATGCAGAGATAAATGTCCATGTGCATTCATATTTATTGTTTTATTTTTCTTCTACAAATTGTATAGTCCTTTTAAGGAATTTGTGGAACTTTAGACATAGATTGACATTGCGTGTAAATTAAGTGGATACAAATTGTATTACTCCCTTCGATATTAACGTTTTGGAAAGATTTACATGTTTTGGCACATTTCCGTTTAATTTGTTGACTTTAACCGCACAACGCAGCCATTTTGTTTCGGTTAGAGGCCTGTTGAAATAGAAAAACTGAAGGTCATTCAGTTTATCAGCTGCAGTCACTGACCAGCCATGAATGACCTAATTTTGAGAGCGGAGCACACGCTTCCCCAGCAGTCTCCCGTCAGCAGACGGTTCAATCACCTGATCCTATTTACTGTGCCGCATGTCAGCGTAGTCATTCAGGGAATAACGTGATGAGTAGACCTGTTTACTTCCTCCCCTTAAAGCCATCAGCATTAACCATAATCAATAGCCATTAGTTACAGCCCCTACAGTAAAGGTCCCTGCAGAATCCCAACACTCAATGCCTTTCTTCCTCTCTGGGATCCAGACATCGTTACCTGTGATTAAACTTTTCCTCTGATCTGCTGGAAAAGCCCATTTTTCAGTCTGGTTCAAGTCGGTGCATTTTAATTCTTCGCTCTCAAACGAGTTACATGAATCTTGTGGCCTTCCTGCTGCTGTGCAACTCTAAAACAATACCAAGTGTTAGTAAATGCGAGCATTGCTTTTTACAGCTGCAGAAGTTATTGTTTGCAGTATCGGGGTATTCAGCCAGCAGCAACAACATAATGAGCGTGAAGTGCACAGCGACGAAAGAACAGCAGCAAAAAATGGCGCTCTTCTGTGTCGAACCAAAACCTTAAAGGCAGTCGACTTTAAATAAGTTTTAATGAGGATCCTGTAACCTGTTCCGAAAGTCTGAAAAGATTTACGAGTATCTGAACTAAACGTGCATCAGTCTGGTGATGAATCCCACGGAGAATGCATCAACGCATCACATCACAGAGCAGAAAGAAATAAAATAAAAAAAAGACAACTTCTACTCCTGCAGCATGCATCAGGATATTCTAATCCTGCAGTTTGCAACTAAACTAAATGAACGAGTTGTAAAGTACAGGGCATGACTTTTTGTTTCCTCCTGTCGGATACACTGTAGTAAAAAATACAGAACTTATTAAACTGAATGAAACATTTTAATTAAAAAAAAAAGAATCATTTCAGATTAGTAAGAATAAATTTGAAAGGAAGAGTTTGTACACAAAACATAGCTTTTAATTTACAGATAATGTTAAAGCAACAAACACGAACAAAGACCTAAGAATTTAATTCTTAATTAAATTTAAGAACAACATCCTTTGTACACAAACTATAGTAGTCCCTCACTATTTCATGGTTCATTTTTTTGCAGACTCGCTCTATCGCGTTTTTTCAAAACAAGATTGGACATGACACACAATTGGCTGATTGATGGATGAGCCGCACGATCGGCACGGAATTTTTATTTAAAATAAATTATTTTCAATTATTTAGCACATGCTGCACCTGTGCGCTGCAGGAGAAGCTTCCTCCTGCAGCGTGTCATATCTCCACGCTGCAGCGGAGAAGTGGGCGTGGCCAAGAGCGCTGGCAGATGGGAGGAGAGCAGGCGAGGCAGAGAGCAGAGTTCATGATATTCTGTGCTCTTTGAGAGCGTTTAGAGTTTAGAAACATTTTTTAGAATATTGCAAGAGTGTGGGAAGGGTTCTATCTATCTATCTATCTATCTATCTATCTATCTATCTATCTATCTATCTATCTATCTATCTATCTATCTATC